ACGCCTTCCCTTGAGGCAGGGCCCTAGATATTATGTAGCGTTATAGTCTAACACACTGGCACAGTACTGGCTGAAGGGGGCTTTAATCGATATCCAGGTTTGTGAACCGTCTTTGATAAACAGGTTTGATATATGATGAGATGAGATATATTTAAACATTCACAAAACAGGAATTTCGGCCGTGGACCCGTCAATTGAGAAGCATTCTTCCTCCCACTTGGCTCACACCACTGTAATTCCATACTAACTATAAAAAATTGGTATTGCCGTGCCCGCGCCCGCTTATACTATTTATCGGTTCTGTAAATGTAAATTGTTATTTAATTAACAAAACTATGTGATTGCTAATAAATATAAAAATGTATTAGTCGACATGTTAAATAAATAAACATTAAATTTGTTCTAGTGGAGATTTTGTATTATTTCAAGCGAATCGTAACAAATACAGACACGATATAATAACGTTATTTCCGTTCTAACAACAGGAAGTTGTTCTAAGATATCGATAACTCAGTTGCCCGTTTATTTGTCTGAAGTTAGTACGTGTTTTAGTTCTTAATAGCTTCAAAATGATGTTTTTTTTTCTTCACCACATAGTGTCACCATCGAGTATATGCAGGTGGCCCATTTTCAGCGGTCCAAAACTTTTTTTCAAGTAGAGTACATCGCATAAACATTTTATTTTTTATCTCGAAGTGTAGGGAAATGTAATGTGTGTGGTTTATTTACAATATAGGTCCAATCATTGTCTATCAAAAAAAATCCATCTGCAGGTACTTGCGGCTTTAGGAATAAAAAGGTGTCAAAATTTTAGATTTGTTATTTATTTTTTAACTCAATATACTAGTTTCTACTTAACTGTCATGTTATTGTTATAACGCTCTCTAGATTACGTATATATATATATATATATTGACAATTTTAACAATATATATATATTGTTAAAAAAGTACATAAAAGAGTTAGCAATTTTGAAATGAAATGAAATTTTATTTGCTTAAAACATGGTGTGAAAGATGGAGCAATTATTACAGAACACATGTTTTACTTGACTAGGCATGCAAAATGTTGCTTAAATTTAGTTTAATTATAGCATTGTCATCGGACGTGTACAAGGAATAATAATAATAATAATCACTTAATTAATTAATAACAACAGAATAATAACCTTCTATGTCAAACTATTAAATATTTATACATTATTATTACATTGTACATGTATACATATACATTAAGCACTAATTTCATGTCAACATTTATCTAAAGAATCAGTCACTTTGTAATAATTTTTTTTTGCCGCACCTTTACTTACAAAGCCACAAGTACATGAGGACGGATTATTTTGATTCGAACTATACTGTAAGTATCCCACGCACATTACATATTCGTATATTTTGAGATAAAAAATAAAATGTATATTTCTCCATACAAAAAAAATTAATTTTTTTTTTCCGAAACTATCAACTTTTCAAGAAATTATACAAGAGTAAAAGTTGTTAGGAATGTTGTTATCTATCATATAAAAAAAATTAGCTCGATACCTTCTCGATACTCCACATACTCCTGCATCGTAACTCATTTAAAATAAACATTAGTTCCGCGAAAATTAATAGTTTAGAAGTTATGATTTTTCATGTACTTTTTTGAAATTTTCTGCTCTAGTCACCAAAACCACTCTAATTTGAAAACTGTTCTACTAAATTAATTGAAATTTGGTATGGAAGTATTGTGACTACGTAGTTAGCATGCAATGTGACATTTTTGTGTTTGTTTTTGATTTCGCCATTATTTTAGGCTGTTAGTTGATTTTTTATTCGTCTAGGAATAAATTGTTAAGTTTTCTAAAAATTCGTGACTGAGAAATTGTATTTACTAATAGCCTTAAAAACTACCTTAAGATGAAATTATTGTTTACACCTTAGAATAATAACGCATAGAAACCTAGCCCGCACACGCTAAGTGAGGCAAGTTAGAGGGTTCCAAACGCGTCCCAAGAGCGCGCGGGCTGTTAGTGCTCAAGGTCATATTGCACCGCGAACAGCTCCAAAATTTTTTGCTAAAAATGACGAAATGTGCGGTAAATGGGTGTAAAAATACAACAGACAAACATAAAATAGACACTAACCTCGCATTCCACAAGTAAGTAATGCGTTTCAACTCATATTTTTATGTAAATATTCACTAAAACAGAAAAATAATTTCGCGGCAACAAGATACGAAAGTGTTGCAAAGTAACGAATTTTTTTTCTCCCCATTTTGCTATTCTGTATCAAAATAATTATATTACGTAAATTTTAGTGGTGCCTGTAATTTAGATTTATTTGCGCATCTTGAACTAATATTTACTTTAATAAACATTAAATGTTTTCGTTAACTCCTGTAAGTGATTGGGACACTTAATTATTTTATAATACTTTTAACGGCTCTGCGTTCATGCTTTATTGAATAATTATTTATTTTAATTTTATTTGAATTGGAGCACATATTGCAACAAATTTACAGTACTTATATATTTGTTTCTACTATAGTGTTGGCACCACCAGTACAACTTTGATAGCTTAATATGTCTTTCTTTTCGTAACTCAAGCGAAATATTTTATATTAAAATATTTTATTTTCTTAAAAGGGGAGCATTCTTAAGCGATTTTTTAATCTATTTTAACAGTTATTTTCTTTAATGTTTGCTTATGGCATTTTCGGTTTTAGGTTTCGAATATGGCACTTATTTCTAAATCCAAGTTGCGGGCGCGATTTTTCGAATAATGGCAAGTTGGGTATCGTTTTCGAGATGTTTGGGAATGTTCAATACAAATATGGCACTCATTTCTAAATCCAAGATGGCAAACACGACAGTTCAAACAAAAGCAATATTCGTAATGAGCACCCCCAAATACCTCGAAAACGATACCCAACTTGCCATTATTTGAAAAATCGTGCCCGCCATCTTGGATTTACAAATAGTGCCATATTCACATTGAGCATCCCCAAATACCTCGAAAATGATACCCACATAGCATTTTTTTGAAAAAATCGTGCCCGCCATCTTGGATTTAGAAATGAGTGCCACATTCGTAATGAGCACCCCCAAGTACCTCGAAAATGATACCCATATTGCATTTATTTGAAAAATCGTGCCCGCCATCTTGGATGTAGAAATGAGTGCCATATTCGTCATGAGCATCCCCAAGTACCTCGAAAATGATACCCATATTGCATTTATTTCAAAACTCGTGTCCGCCATCTTGGATTTAGAAATGAGTGCCATATTCGTAATGACTCATTACTAATGAGCATCCCCAAATACCTCGAAAAGGATACCCATATAGCATATTTTGAAAAATCGTGTCCGCCATCTTGGATTTACAAATAAGTGCTATATTCGTTTTTCATCGACAAAACCGAGCACATCTGTAGGCACCTGATCGACAATGTCGGGCAAATCTGTAGGCACCTTTAACTTAATGATGAGTTAAGCAAGATACAATTTCCCCACTTTTGAGGGAAATGTTATTCCATGGCATCATTATTTGTATATTTGTGTGCGTGCCGACGAGCGTAGTTACAAGTTGCTTACGCCTACATGAATTTGGTTTTTGCCTCACTTGTGACAGTTCGTTTGATATGAAACTATCATTCTATGCGTTATTATACTAAGGTTTACACATAAAATTGTAGCTATGTAATTATTGTAATGTCTTCAGAAATTGACATCACGTGCACTTTTTACTCGTAAAGTCAATAAAAACCAAAATTGAAAATTTCTATCATAACCGTTATTCGAACAATTTTCACTTAATTCGTTGAAAGAAAACATTACAACAATTAGTTCAAAACACAAACTATGGTTCAAAATGAGCCATTCTACATACCGATGAGTGGCACTGACACATAGATCTAGATATATGTCTGTGCAGGGGGCTACTCTCAATCTCGGTCCGACATCCGTCCGAAACAATTACTGTCAAATAAGTAATATTCGACAAAATTGAAAGACAAGTATCCAGTATGAAGCTCATTCGCACCAGGCGTCTTTTCATTTGATCAAGTATTGCTTATTTGGTAGTAATTGTTTCGGACGGATGTCAGACGGAGATCGAGAGTAGACCCCCTGACACAGAACATTATTACCCTTACACTTACATTGAGTGAGTATATTGTGTTCACTAGGCAGTGATTGTAATTTTACCATAGAGTATGTAATGTACATTATTTTTGGTGAATTTTACCACTAGTCGGTGGATTTTACGAACGATCTGTAGCAGTGTTGCCAGATGATTACATTTATTACATTTCATGCAATTTTTGATCATGACGCTACAAAATTTTATGTAACTTTTGTATTTATTGCAATTTTCATAACTTTTGACAACGATAAGATTTTTTTTTAGATTCAAGTATATTTGTTATTGTAAATCCTGAATAGTTTAATAACGTACCCAAACTAAACATTATAGTAACTCGGTGATGGTGCAAATAAAGTGAAATCAGTCAATTACTTGTTTAGAACTCTACTTTACTTACATTTTTGTTTTTTAAGATTTATGTGTTATACAAATACAAATTGTTTACGCGTAGAATTTTCGATTGAAAAAACGAAAATGTAGCTTTTGTAACAAAAATATGGTAACGAACATTGACTTACAAATAAATGGACGACGGGTCTAATACAAAAACCACGAAAAAAATGTCCCAAGTCAACCTATTCGAAATTTAAATTGTAATGTCATCGCAGTATCGCGCTGTCAGTAGAACAAATGAAGACTAAAGCGGAGTTTATCGCTCTGTATACGATTTTAGCGCCTTACAAGTGCGGACACTTTTTAGCGCGGACCCGACGTCCATATTTGTAAGTCAATGGTAACGAAACATAGTTTTCAACTCAAGTACCCTGGCAACACTGTTTTAGCCACATTTTAAAACTAAAAGTTTGACAGCTGACGTGTAAAGTGTATTCGTCGGCCCCAAATAATTTCATAATTCTCAACAAAAAGAAGCTCAAAATGAGCTCCTTTAAGCGTGACAAGAAGGAAGAAGAGGATAGCGGCGGGAATCCATTCCAGAACTTGGACAAAACTATTGTTTTACAAGAGTCGCGGTACTTCAACGAAACTCCGGTTAACCCGAGAAAATGCACGCATATTTTGACGAAAATTCTCTATTTAATCAACCAAGGGGAGAAATTGACCACACAAGAGGCTACGGACGCGTTTTTCGCGACCACAAAGCTGTTTCAATCCAAAGATGTAATGTTACGCAGGATGGTGTACCTGTGCATCAAGGAACTCAGTACATTGGCCCAAGACGTCATAATTGTTACTTCTTCGCTTACTAAAGATATGACTGGTGAGTTGGAATGTGTTTTAGTACTATATTTTTAATATTATCTTGGTGATGAAATTTAAGTGAAAGATATATATCAGGAATGTAGCAAGTAGAGGCCCGTAATTTCTATCTGTCCCTTCGAGAGTTAGGCATCATATTATAGTTACACATATCTTGGCAATAGAACTTGTAAAATATTTGGATTTAATTTATTAATTATGATGCAATGGCCAGTTAAGTGGCCTGAAAACTGGCCAAGTTTTATCAGTTATCTTATATGAAATACATAAAACTACTTATTTATGATTTTTAGGTCTACATTCAGCATTTGAAAAAGTTTTACACATTCATCAAAGCTACCTAATATTTTTGGATATTACGGTAGCTTCCCTCGGGGCCTGTGCTCATCACTGTGACCATTGACTGATCTATTGTGATCACCACTAATTACAGTTCGGAGTCAAGGCCAACAGCATTAAAAACTGAAGGTCTTTCCTGGCTCCAACAGTTTTTATGTGGCCTGTGCCTACCCAGAATAGAACTTCATACGCCCATTAGAGGACAGCACTGGGTGAGGAAATGCACAGGAGTTTCATCCGCCTCGTGGCAGAAACTCTCTGTTTTCTCTCTGCCCAATATTTGACATGTGCTTGTTCAAGCCACAATGCCCTGTTAAGGCTCTAGTCAGCATTCTGATGCCATTCCTGTCAAACGAAGAGCTTCCCTACAGTGTTTTGCACTTAAGGCAGCTATCAGGGCTTTTGAATGCTCAAGACCTTTAGTCTGCAGCCCACACGTCTCGAGACGTGTGTGCTCTCCTTCAGCAGAGTGAGCTTTGCCAGGTCGTGTGCTATCCCTATAAAGGGCTCAGGACCAATGAAGTGAATGAATGAAGAAGGCTGGTGGTAGGCCTCCCTACTACTAGCCTTTGCCAGTTTATCTGCTGCCTCATTACCCTTGACGTCCGAGTGACCTGGAACCTAATGCTGGATCACATTATTCCTTTCGCTGAGAGTATTCAGTATAATACACAGTTCTCTACAATTCTCGAAGTTTGGGTGAGTGACGATAGTGCATGTATAGCGGCTTGAAATGATTTATTTATATCAACCCCTACTATTTGCCTTTGTGTGTATTTATGGCGAAAAATACGCAAAGTAATGGCGGCAGTTTTCAGGTATAAAGAATGACAGCTGGCAATAGAGAGTGGTGACTTCGTAATTGGGCTACTACTTTGAGCTGGTATAGACTTAGTCATAAATGTTATAATATAACCTATCATCTTAGTTCACAGACAATGAAACAATGTCTTTAAACTACATTAATTATGGCCGCTATATCTGTCAGAAAACAAATTTGATTTTAAAACTACTATTTACATCTACAATTGTGCTCGAATTGAAAAAACAAAAACATACTAGTTGGAGATGATAAAACTTTAAAACTATTTTTTTAACTTATTGGGATATGTATATAATGATAAGAGTAAAAAAAATCTTGTATATGCAGTTAATCAATGCTTGCAATAACGAAATTTGTATTTATAACAATATTCATGAAATAGTTTGAAATATCAAAATTCAGGGATTCTACTACCAACACCCAATTATATCCTATTTTAAATTAAATTAAAACCTTATTAAATTCAATCTTAGTTTATCTGTTTCAATGGACAATTAGTTATAATTTTATTTGATAGTTAAGCAAAACATTGGTCCATTGTCCTCATTGGAGGATTGGAGGCCTGTGCATAATAGTAGGAACTGCTTTTTATGACAGAGGAGGTACATAATATAGGTTTTTGCATTAAGTCATCAAAGGTTTTAATAAACCAGTGATTCGGTGTATCTACGTCTAATCTGTCATCTCATATCGTCTTTCTGGTATGCTATTGGGTGTCCTTGTTGATAATATTAAACTATCTCTCATTAAAATACCATGTTTTACAGGTAAAGAAGACCTCTACCGCGCAGCCGCTATTCGCGCTCTTTGCAGCATAACCGACAGCACGATGTTGCAAGCTATAGAACGCTACATGAAGCAGGCCATTGTTGACAAAAACCCAGCAGTCAGTTCTGCTGCCCTTGTGTCTGCTTTGCATCTCTCTTCGAATGCTCCGGACTTGGTGCGCCGGTGGGCAAATGAGGCGCAGGTAAAGTTAGCTATGTGAAAGTGAAATTTGTTATTTAGTACATTAATTCGTATTTAAGAGACTAGGGTTGGTTTATTTTCTATTTCTGTACTGATTATAAATGTTTAAATCTTTACAGGAAGCTATTACATCGGACAATGCAATGGTGTCGTACCATGCTCTTGGCGTCGTTGCGGGCTCAAGAAAGAATGATAAACTGTCCACTGTAAAACTTGTAACACGTCTGTCAAGGTTTTCGTTGAAATCACCTTACGCCCTATGCTATCTTATTCGCCTGGCCGCCCAATTAGTCGAAGACGATGATTCTGAAGGTTCCCAACCATACATCGAATTTATCGAATGCTGCCTTCGCCACAAATCCGAAATGGTAATCTACGAAGCTGCTCATGCCATTGTTAATTTGAGGAAAACGGCCAGAGACTTGGCCCCTGCTGTTTCTGTCTTGCAACTATTCTGTGGATCTTCCAAAGCGGCTTTAAGGCTGGCTGGAGCAAGAACGCTTGCTAGATTGACTGCAAAACATCCTACAGCGGTTGCAGCCTGTGCTGTAGATTTGGAAAATTTGATTTCAGATACAAATCGCTCTGTTGCAACTTTAGCAGTAACAACTCTGTTAGCAACTGGTGCTGAAAGCTCGGTAGATAGACTTATGAAGCAGATTTCAAGTTTCGTGTCTGAAATTTCGGATGAATTCAAGATTGTCGTTGTAAGGGCGATCAGACGTCTGTGTACGAAATTTCCGAGAAAACACCAATCTCTTGCCGCGTTTTTGGCCGGTATGTTACGCGATGAAGGAGGTTTAGAGTATAAAGCAGCTATTGCTGATGCCATAATTGCATTGGTCGAAGAAAATCCGGATGCCAAGGAAACCGGTTTAGCTCATCTGTGCGAATTTATCGAAGACTGTGAGCACACGGCGTTGGCTGTCAGGATCTTGCATTTGCTGGGAAGAGAAGGGCCGAAATCGCGTCAACCATCGCGTTATATAAGATTCATTTATAATAGAGTGATTTTGGAGTCAGGGCCTGTAAGAGCTGCGGCTGTGTCTGCTGTCGCTCAATTTGGGGCACAAAGAGCTGAACTCTTACCAAATATAAGAGTTCTCCTAGCCAGATGTCAGTTGGATGACGAAGATGAAGTTCGCGACCGAGCTATTTACTACAGCGCCATTTTGGACACTGGAGATCAGCAATTGATAAACGACTTCATCGTAAATGTCCCGAAACCAAACGCTGTCCTTCTCGAGAAGGCGCTGAGAGATCATTTGACGACACGTCCTGATGAAACTTTCGATATTCTAAGTGTACCAGCCGAAGAAGAGCCTAAGGAAAGCAAGGAACCAGTTGTCGAGATCGAAGTTAAGAGACCAGTGCAAATGTCCTTGGAAGAAATCTATTCTGAGCAACTGACTAAGATCCCTGGCATAGAACGTCTAGGGCCATTGTTCAAGACAACGCAACCGATAGATTTGACCGAAGCAGAAACTGAATACCGCGTCAGATTGTTGAAACACATCTATGCTAGACATGTTATTCTTCAATTTGAATGCGTCAACACTCTCAGTGACCAATTATTGGAGCAAGTTGAAGTTAAACTTGAAACGCCATCTGAATACGAGATCAAGTCCGTAATTCCCTGTCCCAAACTTCATTACGACAAACCTGGAAGTGTTTTCATCATAGTGGAATATCCTTGCGCGTTCTTCGATAGTTTGGGAACTTTTGGAGCGACTTTGGAGTTCGTTGTCAAGGATTGTGATCCGACAACTGGACAACCAGATCCAGGCGAGGGATATGCAGATTCTTACCCTCTGGAAGAATTTGAAATGGGTGTTTCTGACCAAATCAGAGCTAGAGCTGCCACTGATGATTGGGAACAGACTTGGGAGCGGGCATCAAATGCCCCAGAAGCCAACGATACTTTTGTTTTGTCCCAAAATGATGTTAACGACGCCGCTAAAGCAGTTTGCGAGCATTTGGGACTTCCCAAATCGGCTATAGTCGGTGAAGCTGTGAAAGAAATTAGAGGAGGTGGTATATTCAGGGGCGGAGCGCCAGTTTTGGTTAGGGCGAGGTTGGTTGCGAGCAGTGGTAATGTGACAATGCAGTTATCAGCGCGCTCACCAAGGGAAGACGTTGCTACCCTCCTTTTGGCAGCCGTTGGTTAAATGTAATTACAGGACCACCAACTTATCTGTGATACGGAACGCGTAAGTTCGAAAAACAAAAACTTGGAACACTGCATAAACACTAATATATAAATATCACAGATAAGGGAGTGGATTTGTACTTATTATTTACAATTCACTTTGGAGACAAATTTGTTAAAATTGATTTAGTTATTTTTCAAATACGTTTTTAAGATTCAGCTCGAAGATAAGAAAAGTTTTCTTTACCATGTAGATAGTATGCACGGCATCAATGTCGGTTGTACACTTCCGGTATAAGTTGACACACGGCTCCATGAGTGGATGTAGCAAAACTAGGTTTGATAAAACCTGTTCATACTGGCACCGTAGCGAACCATAAGGTCGTTCGTATAATATTAATTATTTATTTAAAGTCGAGATTTGTTTGAGATGATATTATATTCTAAATTAAAATATACCTTTAACTCCAAATGCAAAATAATTCCAATTTATTCATAATAGAATATCTAGTATAACAGCCAAACACATAACGTAATGATTTACAACCCTTAAACAAACCTATATCTAGCACCATTTTCTGTCTGGTAATTTTTGTCATTTGCAGTGCCTCTACAATGGGTGACAGATTAGCAACCGCGTGCATTTAACACACTTATACAGCGAGTTGTATATGAGACTCGGGTACAGATTCAAGGGAACTATTTTTAATATTCTAAAAGCTCATTTTGGTGTACACCTTTTGTATGGAACAGCTGACGTTTCTTTGCGATTGCCGATTCTTACGGACTTCGTCATGGTATTTAACCTGTTAAAAGTTGTCCCGTGGTTTAAAAATATCCTGAAGGGAATCACCACTTGTCGACACGGAATTGCATTAAGACGGTCAGAAAAACCGTTGTATCGAAGCAATAAAAGCGAAAAAGTGGTTACGCGTTAATTTGTGTGGTCCTTCCCAGAGTGCAATTACCAGGGTCCATGGTATAAGGCTAACAATTCCACATCAAAGTGAATTGTACTTATGGTATAGTTGCTATGAAAAGTTTATATTATAGGAATAGTATTAAAAGATATTCCATTTAACCATCATTCAAAGTCATCTGTAGCGAAGGACAAATCTAGCGGAAATTATGCGCTTGTAATGCGCACGCGCGGTTTTTATGACAATTCGAAAAAAAATTAACGAAGTTGTCGGACAGCCTTTTCAAAATGTTTTCGCGTAAAAAAGGCGAATATTTTATTATACTTTTATATGAAATTACTGGAAAAAAAACATGTATATTACGTGTAAAGTTTTTGAAGAAGTGTTGTTAAACTTAGTGAAAATTTATGCATTATGAATAGCAAAAAAATGATGTTGATAAAGCTGTAGTTGGTGAATAGTGCTTTAGTTTGTCAATTACTCATCCAATAACTATCTTTAACAATAAAAAGTCCTCTTCTATTGTTTAAAATTACAAGTACTTATTAAGAAATTGGGAATGACAGTTTCTGGAAATTGCTCGAACTGTCTCTTGAGAGAAGTATCACCGCATTGTGTTTAAAATTTTCACATCCGAGCGGATAGTTTCCGCTTGATTGTTTGCGCCTTAAGTTTTTACAAGCTCTGTGAAAGTAAAAAAAAATGTAATATAATTTCAATACAAATGTACCTATTAAGTTTCTTCTTCAAATTATACTTTATTCTTTGTGTTTGTATTTACAATTAAGTAAGTAAATAAATAAATAAAACAAAACAATGTGTTTTAATGTTTTAATATGTTCGATTAATTAACAAAATAACATTATTTCAGTCACAATAATCAACTTAAAGATAACAATATGGCTTTGATGGCGCCTTCAAATTAGGTGCTTATAAAAGCGCTACAGTGGCGCTACTACTAATTTTCATACAATATTTAGGTCACGCTTTAGTTTGTTGTTTGTCCATGATTGTTATAAGGTATGATTTCCACATCAGTCCGTCAAAGAAGTTCTGAGATAAACGCCTCGCTGCTGTCTAATCGTTGACGTTTTGGACCAATATTAACTGACTACATACATCGATATTGTCACTGGCCCAAGTCTAGTGGTCGCTATTAAGAGTACATACTACCTTATCTCGAATTCAAATTTCTCTCGTACTAAATCGGTTCTATTGCGCGGGTCGAACGGCAGAGTCACTGGCTGGATTAAGAATTTTTTTTTTACAAACGAATTTAAAGCTATTTCGAAAATGTATATAGTATATTATACGTATTCTATTTAGTTCGGTTGACATAAAAAAAAATCATTGGTATAGTAGAGTACCTATAGAATATAGCGGTTTCCTTGTAAGATTTCGAGGTTAGTTTGTTTTTTTTTCTATCGTGAACCTTTTTAGGAATCATGTTTTCATACCGTTCAATTTTACTATATTTTTAATACAGTTGCTCAAAACGTGGTACTTTCCGTACTACAAATCGTGCCGAAAGTTGGATTTTTCGCACTAGTGCTTTTTACTTTTCCATTTTTATTAAATTTACTGTTGTTTCAAGTCTTAAACATAGAACTAAAAAATGTTGTATATTTATTTAATATTTATATGCTTTGTGACGTAAGTCATTCATCATTAAAACTTATATTTACTTACAAACATCTTATTTGTTTAAATTGCATAGGTGTTTTATAAAACAACGGGTTACATTGAAAAATCCCAAAATACTTTCCATAAAGATGGCTGATTGAGTATTAATAATGACCGGAGGTGAGTTTTACGCGAGACCGCTGCGCGGCGTGCCACTAAAATAGTAATTTTAATGTAGCTGAATATTGGCAACAGTTGCCATTGTACTCTGAATTTTTATCAGACAAAGAAATAAAGTGAGTTTTTTATTTTACTTTTTTATTTATGTGGTTTTTTCGCAAATGTGTTAAAAAACGTCGTTTGATACACGTGCGGATTTGTCATTTTCACAATACTCGAGACTCGTGGAAAATGACTAACTTTCCGCATTTGTATAAAAAATAACTATTTCCAAAGTGAAAATGAAGAAATTCAACACTTTCACTGTTATGCGAAATCAACAAAAGCTATTGATGTTGTATCGACTTTAATAAGTGCAGTTGCAGCGCCACTGTCGTGACACTCGCGCGCCACTTGTGCAGTCACAATTAGTAAACTAAAAATTACTGAAGCGCTACAGACGCGCGACGGCAGCGCTTATATAAGCATCGAATTTGTGGGCGCCCTGATAGTAATCACTATAAATAGCATTACACATCGAGCGCGATGTTTTTCTTTTAGATGAAAATAATTCTACATTTTAGTTTGTTTCACTATGCTTTAAGACATGAATTAAGGGACTGACCAGTGGCGGATTTGCCCTAAGGCCGGGTAGGCCCGGGCCTAGGGTGGCAAATTGTGACAAAAAATTCACTGACGATAACAAGATATAACTCAAAAGTACCCAAATATTCTAAAGGCGCATTATAGCGGGTCGCACTGCACCACATCGTATAATAATAATCTTCCTAAATCACTTTCGTACATTTTATGTATAAAATATAAGTATGTTACATATCTATAATGTAATGTATAATCACTACATATTATCACTACCGCGTCTGTCTGTCTGTCTGATGGCGATAAACTCAAAAACTACTGAACGGATTTTCATGCGGTGTCCACCAATAGACAGAGTGATTCATGAGGAAGGTCAAGTGTATCATTTACTTAGGTTTTGTGTAAGTTGGGTGAAATATGACGATAAATGTTGCAGATGTCGGAAAAAAATCATGCCTGCTGGGCGCTTTACTGGCGTGCGCCCTTAACATAGATATATCAAATCAATTTTCTATAAAAATATTAAATAGTAAATTTTTGAATCGATTTAGATAAAAACTGGCAATAAAGTAAATTCATTATGTAGTCTATCAGTATATGATGAGTGCCTAGGGTGACCAAGACTGCAAATCCCCCGCTGGGAGTGACCACACTCATAGAGACTGAAATGCTTTAAGCTGGTCAGAAAAAGGTTTATATCCTTACAACAAAAGCGAAAAAGCGTGTTTCATGTCGGAGGTCCGAGCGATTAAATGTAGGCCACATTTAACTCTGTTAAAATCTGTGTTAATTACTTAGATGTAAAAAATCAAAATGATTAACAGAGTCACTTATCAATAACTAATTTGAGGATAACTTATAACTAATAAAACAATTTGTATTTATCTTGGTTTGTATTCTTAATCTAAGGACATTTCTTATAAACTAAAATTAACATTTTTTTAATTAATGTATATTAACAAAAGAAATTAAACATAATTTACCCTCCTGAGACCCCCGGTATCACCTATGATACTTTCATTAATATTTTTTATTTCACGCTATCTCAATCCTCGCGTTCGATCTAACATAACGTTGCATTTCTTAAGACATTAACGATTGCTAACAATAAGTATTTTTTATCGGCGCATGAGTATACAATGGGAATCCTTAATCGAAATTGAACCTTTGTGTAAATACCGACACGGCGAATTCTCGAAGAGGTAAATATTGATTCAAAGTTACTTACTACCGAGGTTGTATGTTTCTTAATTAGTAAGGACGTTAATCCTTTGATTTTTTATGTAAACCATAAAAATAAAATTCATTTTTAGTCGTTTTTTCAACCATTTCTTTCTGTATCGTAGGTGATAATCTGGGCACTCAAGTCTTAAAACATGCATCTTTATAGGGATGACATTTGATTTAGAGGTGATGTTAGTAAATTTAAATGAGTTAGGGTGTGAAGATATTCTCAAAGAAGAAGAAGACTTAAATGTAGCAAGAAGACATTCGAGAGGAGGTCATTCCTCGGTCAGTTGACGGAAATGAGTGGAATTCTTTTGACGACGAACCGCTTTTTTTCCTTACGCGTGTCAATACGACTAGAAGATCTTTCAACCGTCAGCAGCCTTGGAATAGGATAAATATGTTTTCGAAAATTCATTAGAAGAATAATTTGAAAATCCACTACTACTTGACTCAGTCTCTGTGCCTACCCCCGAATATTTTTGAAAATTTATCGACCCGTCATTTTTTTAAACGTCTTATCGATGAAATTTGATTAATATTTAACATTTGTTTTAAATTGCAAAATATTTAATAAATTAAAAAACAAATTGCAGCGTCAACCAGAACGAAAGATCTTTAAATACTAGTCCAAGAAACGAAATTTATTGGCTTGGCAATGGGTACTTTGGGTATTCTCATATTTTTTGGTTTCTGAAACAAGAGTAGCTCTTATAGGTACCAGATACTTTTAATTGAGATCTAATATCAAAGTCGTTGATAGTTACTCATGCAATGAAAGAAGTACCTATACAAATTTTGAAAAATTCATCCAGTTGTTTCTGCGATAGAAAAATGTTGTAGAGAAAACCAAAGAGACGAGAATTTAGCAATTAACGAGCAGGTAGTCCTATCCACTGGGAAGTAATTATTTAATCTATGGCGGTGAAATGCCATCTCAGGAGTTTTTGTTTCAATCTACTCGGCTCTATTCATATAGAGCCTAGTGGTCTAGTCATCTAGACCAGCCCTCACAGTAACCCTGAAAGTTATTTAGAGCCTGAAGATATAGATATTGTAACTCTGACATCAAACCTAATACGTAGGCTGGTGGAACCTGTTCCTCGTGTTTTTAAGACTGTTTTTTGACAGTTGATTGGATCTCAACACCTCTCTAAATATGTCAAAGGTACAAAAACAAATCGGTCTAAATCTCGAGTTAGTGGATGCAATACACTAACTTTTCTATAAAATATTAAGAATATAAAATATCCGTATCTAGCAAGGCTAACCGATATTTTTACGAATATCATCCCCAGAAATAACAAAAAATATTTAAATTTATCTTTAAAAAGCAAAATCAAAAATTAAGCATAGTTTTAGCAGTATATTTAAAATTTGACAAAACACATACACCATGTGCATTTAACCTTTTTTTATTCTGAGTTAGACCCGCAGTATCACCTGTGATACCCCCTTTTTTGAGTTTTGTGGTGGGGAAAGAATTTATTTATAATTTTTCTCTAAGTCTTAGTTTCATCATTGTGCATTGTTCCAAAAATCGAGGACTTACAAGTTTTTGAGTCCTGGGTCTCAGGAGGATATAAATCTGAAACGACGATAGATTGTTAATTAATTCTAATATTTGGATTGAAGGATTCACATCCAAGGTCATGAAATATATTATAACAGATATGAATGTCAACACAAACAATGATGTCAAAAAAATGTGCAATCTCTAATCATTAAATTCTGTACCTCAGAAGCATTACACTGTAAGCGCCATTTTTGTAATTTTAGGCGGGAAGCGATTTTTTGTTGAAAAGCAGTTTGTATGCCAATTAGGGTAGCTCAAAATGTTATTAAAACTTAATTAGTTTTATTTCAAGCCATTCTAAATCTTGTACATGCTGCATTTCGACACAAACTCGCGTCCCCTGTAAAATTACAAAAATAGCACTTACGGAATTTATCAAATACTGTCCCTATTATACAAACACTAAACTTGAGACAGCACGTCACGCATTAAATTAAACAGAAGATTTAGGTTTAGTAACTTATCATTTTAGACTGCTAACAGATTGACTGCATGTTTGCAGTTGATTGCATGA